GCGTGCTGCGTGTGGAGAAGACAGCAGAGAGGGACTAGAGCAGGGCTGGACGGACTGAAAGGTTGGCCTAGAGCCAGACTGGGAGTTTCCCACACTTGTTTTATTTTCTGCCTTGTCATATCCCTTTTCCTTTCTTATAGTGCTTTGAATCTGGTTGTTGTCTTTTGTTCCTTTCTTATTTCTAGATCCAGTTCAACAGCTGCAGAAAGGTTTAATAGTGTACGAAGAGCCTAAAGCTTCCTCCTCAGCCTCCCTCTTCCCTTCTCCTCTCTGCAAAGCTCTTTAATATGATACGTCATCTTATGCAGACTGTGAGTGCTTGGAGGCATGATACATAACTGGATAGCAATGCAAGTAAAACTGAGATGGGGGAATTGTTGCCATGCTCTTTTAACTCCTTTGGATTTACTTTTCCAAGTTTTAATGGTAAATTGAAGAGAGAATACTTTTGAAAGGTTCAGCTAGTAAACTGGTACAACTTATATAAATTAACCTAGTTTAGAAGTGAAATTACTTTGTCTGAATTTCTGTTTTAGGAGATGAATTTCAAGTTGAGTCTTTTTGTAAAGGTAATTAAATTTGAATGTCTAATAGCTATTTCAAATAAGAGTTTGCTGAGACATTGGTGAAAGTCTTTAAAAACTGTTGAGTTTGACGTTAAGACATCACATCTTATGCAGATGAAATGAAAGGCAGTAGGGCAACTGCTCTTCATGTGGGTTGCCCAGGAGAGTCCTCTAGCATATAAATCTGTGTTTTTTCTAAGCATGTTTTTGAAATTTTTATCTCTGACTATCTGATGCCAGATGTGTTTAGCTAGTGATGCTAGCAAAGTCTTCATTGTACTGTCAGCTGTTCAGTGCTCTTATAGTAAAATAATTTTTGATTGTATAAATCAAAATTGCTAGAAATGTCAGTGTTAGTCTTAATTCTTCAGTGTTAATGGATGCAAAAATACAGTTATAATTCAAATATGAACTTTAATGCACTAGAAGCATATTGTTCAGTCAATTGGAACAAGCAGCCTCTTTAAGATGACTTTTCATTCTTGCTAGCTTTGGGTAAGCTAAAAATGGACAAAATACAGTGATAGTGGATCAAGTGTCTTTAGTATATACTTCTTAAAAATGTTATTTTTGTTAAGATCTTCAGTGTGAATGGAGGGAGTTAGCTTAATTATCCAGCTGCTTTTGCTGGAGGCTAAGGTAGTGATTTGCATAGCACCAGAATAAATTAACAAGTTCACCAAGCTTGTGGAACAGGATTTTTCTGGCACATAATTGTGTAGCCTAAGAGTTAGATGCAGTATCTTACTATTTTTACCAAAAAGTGATGTTTTTCAGACTCATCCTTGGTATTTTTTCACTATGATGTGAAACTTTCTTCTTCGAGAAAGCAAAAAGGGAGATTTAACTTGAAGAAGCACAGTTGTGGTTTCCAACAGTGCCACTGATTTTGTGCCTCATCCTAATTTAAAGGGAACTTTATTGATATGTATTTCGTCACAGTACCGCTGCCCTAACTCTGATCCACAAAAATCTGTTCCGTAAGTGTTGGAGGAGGAGAGGGTTCTGGTTTTGGAGCTGTTAAGCTTTCATGCACTCTTTATGCTTATTTGGGGTCCCTTCTCTTCCCCACTCCTTCTCCCCCCAGTACTGGTGTGGCCAAATAGCAGTGCTCAAGTTGCACATGACTTGGAAGCATCCCACATGCTGCAGCATGTCATCTGCTGATTGATTATTCCAATTAATTTATTTTCCATCTTATTTTTCTTGTATGTTCAACAGCTAAACCCTTGTACCAGATGCAGCAGTGTCATTGGTCAAATTATGCTGACCAGCTTTGTCGGGCACATGGGATCACAGAGTGGGAAAGGGGCTTGATAGTGGTCTTGAGTCATGATTACAAGGCTCTGTAGTTACTTGCTTACATACCAGCTACAGGAGTTCAAAATGGGAATTCATGGGCTATGCCGTGCCCAGGGAGAAAGACAGGTTTGGAAAGCTGGGTACTGAACTGTAGGACTGGAAAAGATAAAAATAAGGAATTATGAGTAGAGCATTAATCTCTTTTTCCACTTAAAACTAATAACCCTCTTTTGGAGGAATAAAATGGCACACACACACAAAAAAATCTCCTGGTCTTTTGCTGCCTTCTTCACCCAAGGTCTCTTGTAACAAGATCGCACAAAATTGACCTGATGTTTGGCACATTGACCTTCCTAATGTAGATATGCTGTTGTCTGAAAATTTCATAACAGGTGATCTATTTTAGGGAGACTCCCAGCTTAGCTGCTTGTCCTGTTCTCTTTTTCTCCACCTTAGTTATCGTGTTAACTGTTTGCACCTGCTCTTTTTTTGGCTCAGGCTTTGAGGAGGTGACTTGCCTCAGTCTTTTTAACGAAATATGAAGTGGTTGTTTACTGTTTCCAGATGAACAAATCTCTCTGGACTCTTGACTTGTGGTTATGTAAAATTTTTGTTGACATGAAATGTAAAATACAATTCTCGAGTGTTTTCACCACTCTTCGAGTATCAGGTACGTTGAATCAATTCAGTTGGTAGACTAAATTTGCTTTTCTTTTAGAAACGGAATTCGGCTAAAGTGTTTCAGGGAACATTACATCTTTATATTGGGTAGCGTTGAAATATTGTGTGCTTACTCAGCTCCATGTTCAACTGGTCTCCATTGAGGACGCTTCAGTTTCTTTACTGGCCTGTCTCATTTCCCCTATTGGGAAATGCATTTGATGTTACTTAGCCTGTCATCTACTTCAAAACTATACTTCTGGAGAGTAGGAAAACTCCATTAGGTGAGAATGTGTTTGTTCTTTCTGTATAGCAAATTGTAAAAGACAGGAGCATGTCTCTCAAGTTGGATTAATTTCCGAAAAGTTAGATCTGTATGATTTATTAAATGTTCCTTCCTTTTCTGTTACTTAGGCTTATATTTTTTCCACACACACCCTCCCCGAACCCATGGCTAACTCAAGGTTGCTTTCTCAACATCCAGAGAGGTTAACTCTCAGCTGCAAATGGGGATGAAAAAGGGATTATGGAGCATGTTCACTTAGTGGTGTTAACAGATACGTAAGAAAGCTGATGTATAGCAGCTGATCCAGTCAGGAAGATGATAAAACACTTTTCTTGAGGATATTATATTTAAAGAGAGTATTTGAAAGTTTGTTTTGATTAGTGGAGGTAGAACTGGTATATTTAATCCAATTACTGTTTGAAAACTTACACTTCCAATGTGAAGACTGCATCTTACTGAAAGGACTTAATATTTGCTAGATTTATTAACAATTAATTACCAGTTTCTTTCTTGGTACACACCTGGGGGGAAGGGGAGGGAACAGAAAGCCCATGAGAGAAAGAAGAATCCTTTCTTGTTAAAGAAAGAGCTTTACTTCCAAAGGAACTGGCATGGATTCCTCTTGAGTGACATCTTCAGTTCAGTGAAAGCTGCTTTCTGTCCATATCTGCGTTTTGAAAGTGTTGTTTCTAGTTCTAGCAAGGCTTGAGGGCAGGTAGGAAAGCAGAAGCTCTTCAAGGGAAGGAAAGAGTAAAATGAAAGATATACTCAGCCCTATATGGTACAAGGTCTAGAAACATAGTAAACTTGATGCAGCAGATCACATATGGCAAAGAAAAGTTTACTGTTAAACACAACACTAAGCCAAATAGCCACATAAGATCATAAATTTATAATAGGTTCATACAAAAAAACCTTCCAACTGCTTTGTAGTTTTGCACCTGTTGTACTTGATGTGTAGCGGCTATTGCATTTCTGAAGGTGATCGTTCACCGGTCTTAAAACAGTACAAACGGAAGAGAGTGCTTCTTTGTTCCTTATGTTCCTCTGGCTTCTTGTGGCTGTGTGTGACGTTGTATCCTCAGAAAGCACCTGCAGAGGTTTCAGGTCTTGGTGTTTTACTTTAAGTGTAGATGTATAATAGATGAGAAAATAGAATTGAAAGTGTGAGTTCCTAGCTCAAATTTATATAGTCCTTGCAGATGTATCAAGAGCCAGCAAGGAGTCTCCTTGTTTGGGGGGTTGGGGAGTGATAGCGAACATTTAATGGTTACTGTCTACCCCATTGATTTCTTATTTCTGCTATGCTAAAATGTAAAGGTGAGATTCATCTTCCTGAACGTTAGCCAGCCTAAAGGTAGGCACCTGCTCTAGGTTATCTGCCTAGAGCCCTGTTGTAGGCAGGTGCAGAGGAAACAACTAGAGAGTGGTTCAGTTCCTCTTATTTTTGTTGCCCTTTATGGGGGTGGGAAGATCTGTAATCCTTTAATGAGTATATAAAGTACCCAGCCAACCTAGATTAGAGCAGTAGTTTTTAGACAGCTGAAGCTGACAGGGTAATTCTGCCCTTAATATCCGCAAAGTTTTTATTAGAGAATTGCAGTTTTTGTAAAATGTGAATCTTCTGAGTATCGTTCTATTAAATGGGAATAGATTAAACAGATACGCACATTCTTAAGTTTTACTGAAATTAGCTGTCTTGTGTTTAGACTCAAAAGAAATTCACCAGAGTAGTTCAAGTTTTATTTAAAAGGTGGAGCAGTATCATCTTGTCTGTTCAGGATCTCCAAGTCCAATGTGTAATTGTAACCATTTCTGCAGCATTTCTCTTGATGTCTAGCAGTAAGCTGGGAGACGATTGGTTCCTTCTCCTCCCTCCGCATGGATCTGACATATATAACACCTAAGGACAAATGATTGTAAACTCCTGCAAGGAACAAAGGAATTTTTCTGTTATTCAGAAGTGTTTCTTATCTTCTGTGTGAAATGCTTATCAGATCAAGCTAGGTTCTGTTTAAATAATTTAAAATGCAATTGGAAGATGAGATTTTTTTTTTAAAGGTATAGACTTAGGCCTCCAGTTGAACTTGTAAGTATGTGTCAAGGGTGGTAAAAGAATGTAGACATGGGAAACAGATGTTTTATTTGTGAACCTGAATTTGTACTGAAATAAAACTGTATTTCAGGTGTGGATCCATGCCTGCAAGCAGAGAACAGAGTCCCAGGCTCTTCACAAGCTACCACTGCTCTATCTAAACAGCAGAAATCCCGTTCTACCAACTCGAGGGATGAGCGTTTCCGATCTGGTAAGGAAAAGAAATGTAGCTAAAACATCAGGTGTCTTAAGAGGAACAGTGTACCAGTGAAGTAGTACCTACACCTAAAGAAAAAGTTGGAAGTGCCTTGGAAGAAGGGAAGAGCCTAATGAATATTTTTCAAGTAGCTTTTTGTATTTCTGTACATGAGTGGTTTTGTTCAAATCCAGAACGGAGGAAGTACTGGGAGAGAAAGAAATTGTAGACATGCCTTCTGATGTTTTTCTTATTGTGAATTTTACACCATGCTTAACAATTTTCTGTTGTTTGCTGATTGGGTTTCTGGTCTGTAGAACAGTTATTTAAACATTCAGAAGACTACAGTGTGTGAGTTGTAGGGGTTTTTTTGCTTGGTTGGTTGGGCTATTTTGTTAAAGGAAGGTTATAGGATTATCATATTTACTGTAGCTCACTTTCAAATATTTCCTGGTTTAAAGCAAGTGCACAAAAAAGGGAAATGTCACAATGGATATTCTACTTAATTTTAAATGGACACCAGTGTGACAAACCTGTTTTGGAAACTCTGTGAAAATACCAATATCCTCATCACATCCTGTTTCCATTGTTACTTTTCAGGTGGTTGAAGTACACTGTTTCCCTGTGAAATTCCTTGTCACAATAGTGAGAAAAGGCAGGTGTTTGGAAGCTTTTCTCTCCTACATACCTTTGGACTTTTAACTCGAAATTTTTCTGTTTGTTTTCCGGGGTAATTATATGTCTTGGGTTTGAGGATGAGAAGTGCAAGTAACGACATGCACTGCACATCCTTAATATGTTGTTGATCTTGCGTCACCTTGCTTTGCAACTGCTTGGGCATAGTGGTTATTGCATCATATTTGCATTGCTGACATTTAAAACGTTGCTCCAGAAATGGAGCTGATATGGCTGTATAGGTTCCTTATGAATAACTGAAGGATGAATGAGACTTCTTAAATATTCTGAGGATATATATGGACTCCTGGGAAAGATGTATGTATTCAGCTACACAAAGAAGAAACCTCTTAATGTCAGGGAAGATTACATACTATCAAAATTAACTAAATGATGTGTTTAAGAGTATGTACAAATCGGTCATTTGAATTTATTTTTGCATTTGAAATGTATCATCAATATAATTCTACTGTTGAGTACATACCAGGAAAAAAACAGATTTAGTGGTTGAATTACAGCCATGATTTCCAAGTTACTTTGTGACCAAGTAGATTCCAAATAAATTACAAGTAGAATCATGAATCTGATAGAAATTAATTCATTTAAAGTAGCATATTGTTAAACTAACAGAAATAAAGCAAAAAGAGCATGGCTACAACACGGAATACTTGGAAACCATTAGCTAAGAGAGCTAGGAGGGTCCAGAGCAATACTCTGTATACACAGACAGTTTTCCTGTCTCAGAGCCTCAGATATCCTATTTAACTTGCACTGAGGATACTTAAAAAAGCAAACAAACACAACAAGAAGCAAGTAAACGACCCTACCATATTACTGGTATTGTTTGGGGGAAGTTTGGCATAGGGCTCATTAGTATTACAGTGCAAGATATGTAGAAGTGGGTGGATATTAACAAGTTCAGCTAGCATACTTGCTTAAGAATAGATGTGGCTTTTAAATGTTAGTCTAACTATCAGTGCTAATTATCAGTGCTTCCTCTTTTCCTAGAGTGAATATTTCTATGGCCTTGTTGATTTTAAAATTCTTTAAATCGACTTTCAGTGATTCTGAAGTACTGCTCACTTTCTTATCAGTCTAGAGCTCAGCTGATATTTTTACATCTCAATATGAGTATTTCTGAATGACCCTAAGTGTTCAAGCAATCCTGCCAGTGGACAGTTATTCAAGATGAAGCCTGATGTGTAGGGGTTTTAGGTTATTTCTTGTACTTATCACTGGGCAGTGCCAAAACCCTAGGCAGTACTTCATGTGGACTGCCATGTCCTTCTGTGGTTTCCCATCATTGCTCCCCTAACTCATGCTTAAAGAAGAAGAATTAAAACTTCTTGCTTAGAGTGTGTTCTTCCCATTGAAATTTAAACTCTTGGGGAAAAAGTTCTTAGTTGTAACACATGTAATTGGATTTCTTTTTCTCATTAGTGGTATATGACAAAGCTTAGTGGATCAAAACCAAACCGTTAGGTGGTATCAAAACCAAATAGTGAAGGTTTTGCTTGACTTGATTTAGGTTAAACGTATGTCTATGCAACATAATGTAGATATAGATTTGAGAAGCCAATATATTTTCCCCTTTGTCCTCTCTAATCTTTAGAAAAAATCAGGAAAAAAAAAATTAGAAAAAATTATAGAAAAAAATTCTTCACATTTATAGCATTAGTTGTTCTCTTCTTTATCTCAATGTAGAGAGAGACAGAAAGAAAAATGCAAGGTGTTTGTTGCATGTGTTTTTACTCTTTGAAAGTGTTACTACTCTGATTCTAATAGATGTTGAATCATCTAGTTCATTCAAGTCTGAAAATGCTTCACATTGGTGTTGATGCTCTTTTTCATGGCTACTCATGCTGTGAGATTTATGTATATGAAATAGAATATGAATAGAAATGTTGACAAGACATTTCAGAAAACACTAGTTACTGCAAAGCAGATTCACTTTGTTCCTCCCATTACTTTGGCATAAAACGTCACAGTTTTGCTTCACAAAGCAGTCCCAATTTATCTGAGAAATTCTAGCTATGCTAAAAGCATTTTCACCTAAAGAAAAGATGTCCACCACCACCAGCTTGAAATGTTGTTACCTCTTTAAATTTCCCTGTATGTTGACACACCTTACCTGTTGTGAATGATAAACAGCTTTAGGCTGTAATTCTGCGTACTGGATAGAATTGCTTGCTTTATTTATTCTTTAGACTTCTGGGGGGAGTAGAGGGTGTGTTGTTTCTTCTTTTTTTGTTTCCTTCCATTCTTTATTTCTTTTTTTTCCTTTCTTTGCATCTCATCAGTTCTGTGTCCTTTTCAAGGTGGAATGAGAGTGGAATGCAACTTTTCATAGAACAGGATCTCTTTCTGGAGCAATAATAGTTCTTTTAGAACCATTAACATAAATTACTTAAAAAAAGCAAGTGAAACAATTTTGCCTTTTTATGCAATTAATCTGCCATTTACAAGCTGTAAGCACATTTTTTTAATAGTTTCCCAGAGTTGTTGTCCATTTAAATTAACTATAATTTTTATCATCCACAGATTTTTGTCTTTAAGCAGTAGATATCACCAAACGGCAAATACCATCAATAAATACTGTAGCCTACTAAATTACCTAAGAGTTCACAGAATAGGAGTTAACATTACAGCGCTTTAACTAGGTTTTCATACTGTTAAATGATGACAGTGTGATAGAGAAAGTGAGATATGCAGAGACTTTGCAAGCATTTGTCCATGATAAGCGCTAAGGCCCTCATACCCTCAGTTCAGAGGACACTTGGTGATAGGCGTATTGTTATTGCTGCTGGCTTTTCTTTCAGGGAAGGTGTGTGGCTTCTGGTGGAGGCACTGTGCCTCCTCCTTTGTTCAGTCCCACTGCTGCCTGGTTTTGGATAAGAACACGAATGAGTTAGCTGGTAAGCCTTTAGCGTGTCTGAAAAAGCTTTCCCGGCAGCTATACTTTCTCTTTCCACTCTTGCATTTTTTTCTGGTTTCTGTTCTTCAGCATGATGGATAAACAGCTGTAATACAGACTGTTCTTCCAGCTTGCCTGGAACCGGATACAAAGATGCATTTGGGGAGCTGCTCCAGATGAGGAAAAGCCTGCTCAGTGTGCACGGGTGATAACCTGTGCAGCAGCATGCAATATACAACAGCTCTCTCCCTTTCCTTTTTTACTTTTCCTTTCCCCTGTCCTCTTTTCCTTTCATAGAGCTTGATCCTGCACTGATCCTATGTGCTCTACCAGCCTTCCTGGAGTCATACTACTTTTTTAAAAATTATCTTTACTTTTTTTTTTTCCTTTTTCTTTTTTTTTACACTGGCAACCCTTGCCACAGGGAGGCAATCATATGAGACACTAGTTTGCAGCAGCTGTTTGTAGAGGCAGACAGTACTGGTTGCTTTAGCTGCTGGTGTTTGGAGATCTGTGAGCAGAAGGGAAACTTACCAACCTGTGAATGCCATTTTTTCTTCAAACTGTAGAAATTCTTCCTCCTGTGCCTAAGGCAGAAACAAGAATCAGAGGCTGATAAACAAGCAGAGGCTACAAACAGGAAAGAAAAATGCTCTTCTAATAGCTAGAGGGTTTAGGGTGTAAGAGTGATTTATAGTCCACGAACTATTTCTTAGTTTTCCTCCCCCATCCTTTTTTAAGGACATGTAGAAGGAAAGAAAATGAGAATAGGTACATAAAATGGAAGAGAAGATTATGTGGTTTACTACAACAGAGGAAGAAAAAAACCTGTTTTAAATCAATAATAAATTGTTGATGGTTGTTTGCAGCTTAATAAAATGCAGAAACATAGAACTATTTTTTCAAGACTTTTTCTTCTGCTTTTAGATGGCAGCATATGTTTTTTTTCTCACTTTGGTATGCATAATTTTCATGTTAACAAGATGCTGGATTTGCTGTTCATCTCTTCCAGTGTTCACTGCTGAACATTTGTGTTCCCTGTTCTCAGAAATATGATGTAAAACAGGTCACATTTGATCTGATTTTAATGACTATTCAATCCGCTGAAGAAAACTGAAGTCCACAGTTCTTAAATGTTATATCAGTTTCACAGTAAATTTTTAAGAATTTAGTAATGTACAATGGTAGAGACCTTCTTTTTGCAATTCCAATATCCAATTAAACTTTAATTTATGGTAATTTATGAATTTTGTACCGTAAATGTTCTGCTTCTTTAAAATTATTTCATTCCTTTTACTTTTTTTACTGAAGTCTGTTTCATCCTGTACATAATGTAGAAAAACTCTTAAAGGAAATGTGGAATAGGAACAAAGCGTTCCAGGGAAGTGAAACCAAATATTTAATCTATTTCGCTGACAGAGGACGGTCCTACTCAGTTGTTATATCCAAGGACAAGATATTAAAAGACAAATTTCAAGCTGGAAATCTTGATGAGTACAGAAGGAACTGATGAGTTAAATCTGCGCTATAAAAATAAAACATGAAACAGAATTATAATCTATCCTGACTGTCTTCTGGTTGCATTTTTATCATTTAATCTAGTATTTTCCAGGTTTGGGAGTGGGTGTAAGAGGGCTAGAGGAGGAGGTGGTGCTGCTTTTGCCCTCTGGAAATGGAATAAAAAGTAGTTCCCATGCTTGCTACCACAAATCTGTGTGATGTTATGACCTGTCCCACTCTACTTTGTACCAATGTACTCAACGTACCCTTGTATACTAGCTAAGAATGCTTTCATTTTTTTTATCTGCAGCGTTATTTAATGACTTCATGAATTTATATACAGACTATAAATATTGTGTGTTATTTTTCTGTTTTGGAAGACCTTTTCTGGAGAAAAACCATTTGTTATGTTCCCCTTCTTCCTACCAGTTGTTAATGTAACAAAAATGTCTTCTAAATTATATATCGTTTTATGCATGGTTGAAGTGAATGCATGTAATAGTTACCATCTTTTTTAAAAAAACATTCAGCTTGGTTTTGACTGAAAGTTCTGCTATGGAAATGTGTCCTGCAGAACTGCATTTTGCCCCTAACTTTTAAGGCTGCAAAAATAACATTTAATTTAAGTAACACTCCTAAGTCTATGGATAGCAGTAATGTCCTTGGTGCATCAAAGTAACGCAGCAAAACAAGAAGTCTGTTGAGTTCTGCTTAAACTTTCTGGAGTTTTGTGAAATAAAGAGGTTTGCTTCTGGGTATCCATGAGAATAAACTTCAATGGTGGACATTTACAATGGGGTGGGGGGAAATCCAAAACTAAAGATCAGGAGAAACCAAGACTTGACAAAAAGCAGCTGCCCAGATGTGGGGAAGGGAGGCAGGGAGACATAGGGAGAGGGTAATGAATTTTTAATTCATAACACATTTATTGACAACTGCTTGGTGTGAAGGACAGCAGCAAAAATCCAACATGGTGCCCAGTATAAAAAAAAATAATCTTGTCTCAAAAGTTAGAGGTTTAAGAAGTTATTTTTTTTTTAAATATTTTTTTCCCTCTTAACAGCATTGTCCTTGAACCTCACAGGTTAGTTGCACAAAAAGTTCTTACTTGAGACAAGCATCTACCTAGTAAATTCCTAAGTCTTGTAAGAACATACAGGTGGTATAGTGTATTTGCATATACATATTTTAAATATAGCACTGAACAGATTATCTGAGGGGAGCTGCAGACTTGAAAAGTGACATTGTTACTGCAAAGAACTAGGTGGTGTCTGGGACCATAAGCCCAGGGCTCATTTTGATTTATCTGGTCCATCTGGCCAGGCTGAAGGAAACAGTTTGTTTCTCATTTGGATGTGACTAAGAAAAGCAGCTTCCTGATTTTTGGTTGAGTGGATTTTTTTTTTTCCTGGCATTTCTCTTAAAGGTGCTGTACGCCTCCAGTACTGGGGTTATAACTTGCTTCTGTCATGGTGTCTCTTTGATCTCATGTATTGCAGTAAATAGTGTTGTGTAGTCAGGGAGCAAAAGTTAGATGCCTGAAGTACATGGTGTGAATATGCTTTGGAGCAGGAGGGATTTTTACTTGTGGAAATGGAACAGTTTTCATGTAACACAGGAAAAGATGTCAGACTCAGCTATGGTGATTTTTGTCTCATTTACTTAAGAACAGAAGTTCTGAAACAAAGGCATCTGCCAATATCTGTCATTAAGAGGTGGTTAGAAATATATTGCATGAAGCCTTCTCTGGCAAGGTTCTGAGATTATGGGCAGCATTTGCAATCTGTTTTTGAAATGGAGAATTGAATAGTTGTCCCCCAAGTGTCAGGTGTTTATCCACTGCATTGGGATACAGCTGCCTTTGGAAAGTAAGTTTTTCAGGCCAAGGCTTCCTACACATTCACATAGATGTGCTGTGCTTTGCTGTTTCATAGCCTTTCATTCTCTGGAATGCTCAAAAATCTCTTCTGGTTTTCATTAAAATATATACTGATTAGCTTTCCCCTGAACTATCTCTTGCTTTGTCAAAGTTAACGGGAATTGTTTGGCATATTTAAAATAAATTAGGAAGAACCTCGTGCTCAGCATGACCAAAGCAGGTTCAGGACTAGTACCAGAAATGGTACCTTTTTTTTTTATAAAAAAGGTACCGTAAAATATGGAGCTTTACTTGTAGTCATCATCAAGGTTAATCCCTGTAAGTATGAGGCAGAGAAATTACCTTTTTTTTTTTTTAATACGTAAGTTGTGTAAGTGTATGCATGTCACATATCTGAGTTTCATACCTACAAGTCTATCAGCATGTTATGTATTTGCAGCCTTCGATGGATACTTAATGAAATAATATATCTTTTTTTCCAAAGTGAACAGTTTCATTCTGTAATTCTGGTATAGCAGCTTCTACCCAAGAGAAATGTTGTAAGACAAAAGCATAATCATAATAACTTGCTTTTGAGCCTTTTGTAGCTATGTGTAAGTGTATACTTGCTGTACTTGTTTTTCATGAGTTTGAACTTGGGTCATAAGTTAAAGTATATTTTTGGTCTGCCTCATTTCTCCTTGACATCTATTCTCATATATATATTCATATATAATTCATCTCATGAATTTTCTTTCTACATAAGTTTTAGCTTTTGACACCATTGAAATACATATGTCACAATGAAAAATCTGTGAAGGCAATTTAGAATTACTTGAAGACGTTAAATTTTATCTGCAGTGTGGGCTTGATTGAACACTAAATTCCCCTTTAATCTCAGTTTTGGCTTAAAAATAAGAAAAGTTAAAATATACCCCATGAGTATATTAGGGTAATTTTTGCTTTCAGGAAAGTGAAAACACTTGGTGTCTCTTCCCTAATTCTTCATATACATTTAGCTGCTTCTTTCTGTTTTTTGTTACTTGCATTCTTTTGTGAGAGCTTCAAGTATACTTTTTTCACTTCTTTTCCCATTGTGGATTTTGAAGGATGAAGAGTCCAGTGCTGTTGCCAATTTACAGTATCTGCATTGAAATTTCCCCCCAAAATGAAAATAAAGCATAGCTCAGAAGTAATGTGCTAGGTATTCTGTAACTTCAGTATTGGCTTTCAGGGTGTTCTTCCTAAATGATACTCACAAAGCCTTTTCAAGCTGATTTCATGAGGAAAATATGTTAACTTGACCCTGCTTATATCCTCCCTTAACTTTTGAAACCATTGCTTCTGAGCTGAATTTGAGTGGGAGGCAGGCGTATTTATTCAGTCCTAAACACCATTGAAGGAGAAACAATTGATAGTGTTGTCACAGCTTCAGAATTGAAAACCATGTTACTGTAGTTTAGCTTTGGACCTTTCTGCTCTCCAAGAAGTGTTGCTTCCTCTGAAGCTGAGAACCTGTTCCTTTCTGCAAGCTAAGCAATTGGGCTAAACAGGACTAAAGCCGTAAGGGCCATCATGTGCGATTCAGCCTTTGGATTTGAGCTGTAAAAGATGGCATTGATGCTTTCTATATTTTTAGAAAGAAATAATGATTAAACTTAATCTCTTAACCTTTTTTTTTCTCTATATAGATGTCCACACTGAAGCAGTACAAGCAGCACTCGCAAAATACAAAGAGAGAAGAATGCCCATGCCTTCAAAAAGACGGTCTGTTCTTGTGCACTCTTCGGTAGAAACGTACACGCCTCCAGGTATCTATTGAATTAACATATGTAAATCTTGCCAGGTGAATGTGATAGCAAAATATAAAGAGCAAATGCTTTGTTCTGCTAAGTTGTAAGTATGTTGCAATAAACTTCTGTATTCATGGCTGTATTTCCTGATAATCAGGTGTTGGTTGGATTTGTTCTTTGATGGCTTTCCTCAAGATTTTGTCTCTCACCTAGAGATGCTGTAGCTGCTAAAGGTATACTTGAAAGCAATAATAGAGTGAGCAGTTGGCCTTTATGCATTAAGTATGTTCTCTTAGGTAATGTCTTACTTGGAAGGAGATAATCTTGGCAAGCATGTCAGACCTGTAAATACCTTATTTCATGTTGCATAAGATACTTTTTTTAAGAGTTGAAGAAAATGCCAGAGCATTAAGTTGCTGCATTAGCTTGCACAACACTCATCAGATGGTTTCAACTGTGAGCAATTTAAAGCATTCAGAAAATCATATGCTAAAATTGTTCAGATTGTTTAGGTCAGAACGTTTGGGGGGGGGGGCGGGGAAGGTAATCTTCCTGAATTCTCTAGAGGTTAAGAAAATCTTTCTCCAGATAACATGTTGTGCTAGCAAGCCAAGTGTTTTGAGGCCAGTGTCTTGTATGCAAAGAAGAAGAATTTCCCTAAGCTCTTAAGTTTTGAATGATGTGCTCTTCTCTTTTCTAATGTTGCCCGGGAGTAGAGGCACACTGACCTCTAGTGCCCTTCTCCATCAATTCTATTTCTTATTCCCTTTCTGTAAAAGAGGTCTGCTGTGCTGCTCTCTTGATTCCTGGGCTATATTTCTTCTTTCTGTTCTTCCCATTTAAAGAAAATTCCACTTTTCTTTGCTAGTCACACATTTTGTATATTGTTTCTGTGGGTTCTCTGGTTATTTCATTAGGTAATAAATAGTAAACTTCTTCTCTAGTCTTATATATGGTCTTTCTTGACCCTTATGTTTTTGCGTAGAAGATGTGTTAAGGTATCATGCATTTTGATTAGCTTATTCTTGTAGTACTTGTATACTCAGAAGCCCATGAGGCTGTTGCAGCAGGGTGGTTATCATGCTCTTGAGTTTTCTTGCATACATATTTGTGTATGGAAAGTTGTCGTGAATTGCATAAAGTGAAATCCTGGAGAAAATTAATGTATGGTGACCATCTGTATACTGAAGCTTTGGGAGAGAGGCCCTGAAGGTTCCTGTTTATAGCTCTTCAAAGCAATAGTCCTTCTCACTCTCCAAAATAAACTCTGATAGAACAGTCAGCGGTGTGTTTCATGTAGCATCACTCTGTCTTTTTCTCTCATTCCCCCAGTGTGACAAATCACTGTGTGCTTGGCGTGAGGTATATCACAACAAGAGAAGAACAAGCTGCTGTTCTGCCTAAGATTTGGTGTAAAAAAAATAGCTGGCATCCAGAAGCTCTGCTGAGAGCAGAGGATAGTTTGGCTTTCCTGTCTCTCTTAGCATTTAAAACTAGAAAGAATCTCCTTGCAGTTTTTTTGAGAGAACCACAATATCATTCTTTTTTTGAATACCTTCGGGACAGATTTGAAGCAGTGTCCCTGCAGTTATAGCTGTGCCCACTCTGCCTGAGGTCAGGGCTCTGTGTGCTACTCTGAAGAAGCAAAGTCTTGAGAGGGTTGAGAGACTCTATAAAGAAAAAAATTGAGGTGCTGTTGGTAAACTTAAGTTATGTGATAAAAGCTGGTCTGCACACCTTTGCAGGAGCACAGAGAGTGGCGGGGGGGGGAGCCTAAATAATACCCTGCCCCAGCTGCTCCCAGGCCTGTCCCAGGAGCCATCAGCCTGTCACAGACCCATCTCCACAAGCCCAGTGGAGCACGGGGAACAATGGCAAGTGGGAACCCAAGTTAAGGACTCAGAAGAAAGGTCACCCTGTCCAGGCCCCTCCCAGGGCTGTCCCTGGAGAGCCTCAGCCCTCCTGCCCAGACATGAAACCTATCAAGAATAGTCAACACTAGAGCACCTTCTGGACTGAGGGGGCATGCTGCAGAGGGGTATGGGACATATTACGGAATGTAGCGCAAAAGTATTTGGGGACTGCATGAGACTTGTTATGGGATGTTTAGGTGAGGAACCACAGACAGGGAAAGGGGTAGATTTAGGTGGTTTGGGGAGGAACAAGTGTGAGGAAAATAGCAGGGTACGGGGATAAAAAGGGCTGGTCATGTGTAAATGGTACACTAGCCTGGCCATGCCCTGCACCTGACCCTGCAGTCTGTTCTCTCCTCCTGTTATACTTTATTTCTAACACCTCTCCTGGGTGAGGGACTCTGTACGTGTGGAGTGGCTGCATCAGTCAGCCTATACAAACAAATGGAGTGGGACTGCAGCCTCAGGCTCGTATGTCCAGGTGCCAGCAACTGGGGAGACTGCGATCCAGGGACAGCTACTCGGCAGACTGAGTGTCCAAACCCAGCTGCTGGAGGGATGCACATTGTACGTGTGTGTGCATGTATAACCTCCATCCTGCTCAGCCAGAGTGGGGAGCAGGATGAGGCCATGGGATCTACCCGTGTTTGTGTGAGTGTGTTTGTGCTGCTGGAGAGTGTCATCTTCTAACATGCCTGTCCAAGAAGTTAGCAGAGAAGATAAGTACACTCGCACTGGGCTTTAGCAGGATGCAGAAGCACCCTAACTAATATATTCTGAAAGAAGAGTTAAGTGTCTCTGGGATCTGTCATGCTGTTTCTAAGGGAAGGTGACTTGTTATGAGATACCTTTATCTCTATAAGAGAATGGGCCACTGGATGAATTCTGTTTCATAGATGATCAGGCCACTCAAAAATACTCTGAGGACTTGCTTCAGCTATATCAGTTCACAAAAATAGTAGCAGGAAAGATCTGAAATTGCAAAGAACGTGAGTAGCGCTGAAGCATCTAGTTTTGTTGTCTTGAGCCGTTAAATCACTGCCTTAAAATGCTTGTATTGGCAGAAGTTAATGCAATTAAAACCAGGCTTTCTCAATAACTGACATTTTCTTGCAGTTACCATCAGTCACCAAGAAGGAAGCATCAGATTCTAGCCACAACATTACATTCAAAACCGACTCCTGACTGACAGTAATGGAACTGCTTTCATCCTTCCAAAAATGTTAATATACTTTTGTTTTCATCCCATCGAGTCTCTCATCCTTCCCATACGGATTTCACGTGATCAGAACTTGAGCTGCAGTCTTGATGCAAGTTTGGTCCAAAGGGTGGTGGTTTCTGTGGCTATCTTGGGTCAGCTCCCAGCCAGGAAGAGCTGCAAGCCAAGTACATAGCATTCTGCTCCCAGCACACAGAGAACCACTAATTAACGCCTGCGATGCCACAGAGCTAGTTACTGATGTTACTTTGCTACTTTTCTGTTGTAATTATGTTCTGATATTAGAATGATTTTACTATGGATCCTTCATTTTTATACACAGTTAATATTTTACATTTAAAGTGGTTTTTTTCCCCCCTCTGCTTATGTAAGACATTTGAAAGCTTAAAAATTTTAGAGACTTCATTAAACTTGTAGCTGGATAAGGTGATACTATCAGAGTATGTATTCTTTGAGAAACCTTTTTTTACTGTAGTTTTATTTCTTACTCTGAAGTGATAGTAGATTGCAGATGTGGGAGTGATTTTTTTGAAACCTCACTATTTGTAATCCTATCTTGTTCCATATTCCTGGAATTGTTTATTTTTGCTTTCTGCCTAAAAGATAGGGAAGGTTGCAAGCACTAAGGGGCAGGTTTGGCTCCTCTCCTGGAGCAGATGAAGTCAGCAGCCAAAAACTACAACTGTGGCGGTAGACCAGAAATATCATACAAGGCACGGAACCAGGAATGGTGATCCACTACAGCTGTATCTTCTCAAAGATCAATTGTGTATTTTCATTCAAAATTGTAATGTTTGACTAGGGATGGTCAAGTAAAGAGAGGTCTGCAATTTTAACTTTGAAAATGCCATTGAGTTAAACGAGCTTCTTAGGAAATTATTTCCGATTTTTGTGGTTTTAGACTGTTTAAGAGCAATTACTCTGAAGCTATTGGAAATGCACGTATTCTTGAAAAGCAGAAAATTAAACACGTGGTAACTGAAATTTGTTGCCAAAGATGAGGAAGAGATTTAATGTGGCTTCAACAAAATTTATATGGAGTTGTATATAGCTGAACGGTTACGTGTTCAGAGGATTAAAAAAAAAAGGGGGGGAAGCCAAAATTAAGGTTGCAGAATTTCTGAGGTAACTCACTCCCCTATAACCCAGGATTTCCATGTCTGGTAGGGACTCTAGAATACAGTAATGGAAACCCTATCTTTTTCAGAAGCTGTTTTTCAGCTCCTGCTAACTTTTTAATTGGTCTGGCCATTATGTGTGACTTAAAACTGCTATTCACAAACTGACTTGATGTGAACTTCATCAGTATATGGCAATGGATTGTTTTAGGAGCTTTTCTTTAATTAGCTGGGGGAGAGTTGGGGGTGGGGCATATACAGAGAGTCAAGTTCTTAAAATTCAGCAGTCTCTTTAGGAAGGCAAGATTCTTTTGCTGTGACAAAAGTTCATATTTTTCATTCAAAATCAACAGAGATGTATTTTCTTGATGTTCAGAAAGACCTTTTTATTTGTTACTGAGTGGATAATAAATGCGGAAAGATTGAGTGCCAACAGGAAACTTCTGGAAAGTTGTAAATAACTGAATGGTAATTAAAATAGGAGCCCTTTATCAGACTTCTAACAGCATCAAATATACATCTAGAATTAAAAGGTGCTTTACTAAGCATTTCTATGTAGTGCTTGTTAAAATCAGTTTATGTGGTTAAAATACATGCTTTAAATTCCTTTAATTATTCTTGGATTAATGAAATAACTCTTTCATTGAACTTTATAGCACTGTGGTTTTTTTAATAATTAGTTCTCAAAAAATTTGTCAAAAGAATCGAAAAGTGAAGAATTTCCCCCCCCAAAAATAAATAGAAAACACCCAACAAAAAAATGTAATGGAATTTATTCAGGTGGGATGAGATCCAATTTACCTGTTCAGAACAGAAATATTTTTTCAGTGGAAGAGGTATGGTATACTCACTGAGAAAGGTTAGTGAATGTACTAGGTACCTTAGGTAGAAGCCTTTTTTGGGTCCTAACGTCATTCCAAATACAGGAGGTAAATGAAACTTTGCTTCAAGCGTGTTCTAGCTATAATGTGTAGAAGTTGTTGAATTAACCTAAAAAATGGCAATGAGCAGAATTTGTGCATGTGAATATATCATTTGCTTAATACATGCATCTCATGTGTAGCACATGAGAATGCTACGTGGAGAACATGGAAAAACTTCATGTTCCCGTCTGTTGGGTCATTCCCACATTACATGCCTGTCATCGTTATTTTAATCACAGACACATCGTCAGCATCAGAAGATGAGGGCTCCTTACGTCGGCAAGGGCGGATCACCTCCACTCCGTTCCAGAGCCATTCCAACGTAGAGCCCTGGCTTAACCGGGTTATTCAGGGCTCCTCCACCTCATCCTCTGCATCCTCCACCTCATCTCATCCAGGAGGGAAACCTGCTGCTGCTTCCAATACTGCTACTGCCACCGCTGCTGCCACTGTGCTTGCAGATCTCATGGCACACACCCAGCTAGGTCAGTAAACAACTGCCTGTGTGGTTGGAATAAAATCAAATTAAAAATCCCAAAGCAGTGCTAAACACAAAAGTCTTCACCGGAAGAATATCTATAAATAGCCTTAAAATGTACAATCCACAGACCAGGTATGTATGATATATATGTATTTAATTTAAACTAAACCAGTTTTTCATGAGATCTGAATGTGCATTCTTCTTGGTAAAATGCTTGATTTATCAAGAAACTAAGGTTCAATTTTATTGGATTCAAAAACAGAATTTCAACGGGATCATATTTTTGGTGCATACTTTCTGATCTGCCTGTATTTACCCTAGACAGTATCAGGTTATGGATTTCAAAGGTGACTTAATTGGTAAACACCTGAAAGACTGGAAAACCATCCAGAATCTTCTGGAAAGTTGTGAAATCAGAGGTACTGACAAAGCTAGATTTCAAGCTGAAATGTGATTTTTTTTCCTTTAATTAAAATGCAGGTCACGAATAATCCTTTATTGTGCAACTAGAGTGAAAATGTAAAGTACTGGTAAGCCAAAATGTAAATGTGAGTTTTGTCTCGATCTCTGTAATGCTGAAAGTCCAGAACTTCAGGTTAACTTTTTTTGTCCTGAAATGCAGAGCACTAGTCTTGTGCTTTTGGAAGATTTAGTAGGGAGGGAGAAAGGCAGTCTCTTCCACCATGAAAATAATTTTTACAATGTTTTGTATGCTGTAGTGAAGATTGATAGTGGATTTATATGCATGCAACAGGTCCACACTAATGTTAAATGATGGGAAAGGACCTAGAGGAGAAACAATGACTTTGTATTTCAAATAATTTTTTTCCCCAAAGTAATTTAGAAAAATGAAACGAAGGATGATGTTTGTATTTCACCTATGGGCTACAGCACAAAGTTCTTGAGCTTCTAGTAATATCCAATAGGCATCATGTATGTTGTTCCTGGACATTTCAGGTTTTGGCAGTTCCAGTGTTCTACTTACCTGACTTTTTTGTTTATCTGTGACTGTATGCCTACATACACCATACAGACAGTTTTTTCTAATTCATTACAGAGATCAGATTAGGTCAGATGAGGAAAACACACTGAAATGCTTTAGATTTAAACTGAGCGTACAGGCTTCTGTATACTTAGAGATGCCGATTACCATGATAATTTAAGGCACGAATATATTTCTCAAATACCTGTTCATTTAGCTGGTCTAGCTGTTACGTTCAAATTTTGGTGAAAGCCCAATCATGTATCCTTTAGACTTCTCTGTTTAGATGATACAAACAGTTCACAGTTCTCCTAGGTGTGAGGCAGCTAATCATAAGAGGGTTGATTCTCTGTTCTTTGCTGGTTTGCCCTCTGAGTTCCTTCTGCCTTATACTAAGTTTCAGGCATCAGCCTTAGTTTATAGTAGCTATGGGCTTCAAAATGCAACCAATGCTTGTAGTTTGTGACCAGTTTTACTTCTTCAGGTTCCTAAAGCACATTATGAAACAGGGAAAGGACTATGAACAAGCTAGAGGCTCTCCAGAAGAGGATCCTCTGGATTTTCTGTGTGGCTTAGGTGCTGACAGAAACAGGGATTGACTCATTTTGCTGTGATTGACATCCCAGTTTTCATAGTGCAGTCAGTTTTCTGCAAGTGGAGCTGAGATGGAAAGAGGTAGTAGCTTGCTTGGTGTTCTGGAAGACTCTTTAGGTGTCAGAGAGTCTGGGAAGGGTTATCTGTGTCTTTGCTGCTTGCTTTGACTTCCTCTTCTGTTTGTATGGGGATCTCTTTATTGTGGAAGCTAAGTATGAAGAGGAATTCTGATATCTAAGTTTTTACAAGGCAAAACGTTTTTCCCCAAGCCTGCTTAGTGCTGTTGCCTTAGAAAGCTCCTGCATGCTAAAATGTTGGGTTTTGTTTTGTGTCTTACAAAGTTATGGGCAGCATTTGGCTTTGTTCATTTTTCTGCACTTCATCAGTACTTCATCCATAAACATAGTTAGAAAGATTTGCCTCTTTGGTTAACTTTTGTGGCTTTATTGCTAGTGATATTTTTCCTGTTTGTACAAAACACACCCATTTTATTGCCTTTAAAGAAATCTAAATAGTCATCTTCCCATTTCCAAGCTTATTTATAAGAAGAAATTTTCAATTTTGTTTTTTTTTTACTTAGGGGATGTAAGTAAGATGGAATATGTCTACCCCTTGCTTTAAGGGCATTCTGGATTTCACATTATGGATTTATAGGAATCATGTTTAACTCCTTAAAATTAACAAATAGACTTGGAAGGTTAGCCGTAATTGTAGGTGTGATTGATGAAATTCTTAATGTAGCTGTAAAAACTTGCAAGATACACAAAATGTAACACAGCATCCTGTTACGTCTAATATCTCAGGCCATATAAATGCATATCAAATTTCACAACTAGCTTCTTAAGATCTATCAGGACTATTTAATCGTCAAAATTGTATGCAAAATCAAGGCCTTTTTAACAGTTCAAAGTCCAACATTTAAGTAGCTAAATGTTGGACTGCATGCAGTGGAATAGTTTGAAATTTCATTAATGGGAAATAAATATGTAATTATACTATCTATCAGGAAGGAAGCTCAGGGGTCATTAAGAACTGATCTACTAAAAATATTTAGAAAGGTAAAATTTCCAGTGCCTTTGACAAAAATTTAAATATCCTTTTGCCTAAGAATGATCTTCTTCATTTCTGAAGTTCTTGCCATATTCCATCAATTTTCATTTCTAGCTTGGTAACATTCATGCATGTCCAATAACAATTCAGTTGTGACATTTTTCATGTTAAAATAATTAATCAGCAAGTTTGTCTATAGTCTTCCTTGCTCACAAGAATATGAAAACTTACTCAGTTCTTACATTGCAAACTTCTTTGGTTATCGATAAATACTAGTGTACTTTCACAAAGGACCCCTTTGATTTGTCCTAGAGCATAAAAGAAGAGTTTATTTTCTCAGTTAATGTGCTGATATCAGCAATATAAAAGGCACCTTACATATTTTAAATACTATGCCTTACTAAAATATTCTGTATTTTGACTATGTACTGAATAACTATTCACAATTTTAATATGTTGGAGAATTTAAATTTAGCAGATTGTTCTCTTGCAGCTCATCTTCTCCAGCTTGCATTTTTATTGATGAGATCATACTAAATTCCCAAGCAATAGACTGCAGTGTTGGAAGTGCAAGGTTACAGAATTTAATAAAGTCAGATAGGAGTAGGTGTTATTTTTAAGCTGTTTGTCTTTCACCTACAAAAGCAAGGACAACATCTATGTGTTGTTTTGGGGGCTTTTTTCTTTTAGTGTAATGTTTTCTTTAAAATCAATAAGGCTGGCAGTGTGTGTAGGGTTTTTTCAAGGTCACCATCGCAACTGTGGAGTATTTCCCAACTTAGCTCTTGTAGCATAACCGGGAAAATAGATTGTCATGGTATTATGGTATTATCTATTTATTGAAGCACTTAAAAGTACAATTCCTTTTCTTAAGGGGAAGCAGGGTTATAAGAGTAGGTGTTTTGAACTGCTGTGGCTCTGTAAGCAGTTTTACAGAAATTGTGAGAGTGAAGTGTGTTAGAAACAGTTTCAAGGAGTTTATTGAAGAGGAAATGCAAAGAATGAAGTAGTGGCTTGTGGATCCTATTTTGTGTTCTGGCTGGGTTGGTGTGCTCTTTTTTGTTTTATTGTTCCAATACAATTTAATAAACTTCTTCTAAATGTCCATTTTGGTCAAGTGGTTTCCTAGAGACAAAACAATCATACACAGCCATCTCTAGGTCTAACCTGACTTCCTGCTAGGTAGGGACTTTTTTAAAGTGTTCGAGTCTTCACCCTGAGATTTCTCCTTAGAGACTACTTTCTCTCCAATGCTTAGCTTTTAATTTTCTATGTTGTATCCCATACGTTCTTTCTTCGGCCACTGCTCTCTTTTGCATTTATCTCTGTCTTCTGATCAACAATGGAAAGGTACTTCAGTCTAAATCCAATTAACTTTATTACTGAAGTCACAAGTCTATTCAAACTTTTTCTTTTTTGACTACTCACCACTTCTCTTTCTCTGCTTTGCCACAGTATCTCTAGATGATACAGACTAATATCATGGATTCTCATTGGCATATATTAATAAAATGCATAAATAATTAATGAAACTAATGTGAATTGTATCTGAGCATAAATCCTGAAAATTGAACTTATTCCTTCTACATGCATAGAAAGAATTTTAACTTCGCAAGGCAGAATTGGGAGGGAGAGTCAGTTCTCTGCTGTATGTAAGATGAAATAGCTGTGGACAGCAGAGAAGTTGTTCATAAGGACCCCTGCTATTTCCCTTCTGTGGTGAGGGACATTGATTTGCGTGAAACTTGGCTCTGAGGTGCTTGTAAAGTGTATGAATGCTGTAGATTAACACCTCCATATATAGCTATTTTTTGTGCTTGTTTTCAGTTGGGAATGATTCTTAATGGTTTTTTTGTTTCTTTTCTGAGCATTCTCATTTTTTCTGTGATTTCTTTGAGCTGTTCCCACATACACAGCTCTTCCATAAATGTTGCCAAATAGCTTCTTCCTTATGTTATTTTCTGAGCATCTAATTGCAGAGCTTTTGTATTGCAAATACCTGCCTCATGCATGTGGGGAGAAGATTGCTTTTTCCCAACAGGAATATGCATGGTAAAACCTGCATCCGTTTAGCATTTCAAGTTCTGTACTTCATGCATGGCTTCTGACCCATATGTGCACCAAGTCTCATAGTGTGTGTTAGTCTCTCTTGTCCTCTCTCTTGATTGTTATATTTGTACCTATGTGTACATTTTGAGTCACTTGAATGTTTAGTGATGACAACTTCATCTATAGAAATGCCATCTTGGGGCCTTCCACTGATGAAGCCACATTGCAGATACATCCCTAATTGTAGTTCTTGCTGGTGTATTCCAAGGAGTGAAAGCTTTAGACATTGATAATCACTGCAGGGTCTGTAAGTTGAGAAGTATGGACTTGTGGGCAAATACTGCAGTATGGGAACGAGGTATATTTGACTCTGTGTCCTTTTCTGGGATTAATTTGTATGCTGCGTGAAGTCAGTGTTTTGGGACTTTGGTAAAGCAAAGGAAAAAAAAAACCAACCAAAAATCAACTCCAAAAGTAATTTGAATACATGGGCTTTCTATATGCCCTGTAAAGTGGTTATACGGGTCAGTTTTACACATAGTTGTCACCTTTTCTTGTTACTGGTTCTAACTCAGTACTTGTCAGAGACATTAAGTGATATGTTGTCCTTCTTGTACCTTACCCACATGAAAGGAATTTGTGGTCCTTGCTTAGTACCCAGCAAGACAAGTCTCTGCAATACAAAAATAGGCATTGCAGTGATGACCATTGGAAAGTATGGGAATGGATTTAATTTTTTCTTCTGGTGGTGCCTCTAAAGCTGCTTAGAGCTGTACTGGTGGCTTGTATGTCAGCTCTGGAAATCTGTGAGCAGAGCACTTGTTATATTAGTGCTAATTCCTTCCTCAGAATGGGTGGGGTAATACATGGATTTCACAGCACTGCCTACATGTCCCTATGCTTTGAGTTCTTTCTGCAGGATTTGTGGCATGCTGAGGTCCTTCATGGGGTATCACTGCAGAGCTGCATGACCCTAAGCAGTTCCTCCAGCACAGTGCAGCAGTGTGTTCTTAAGCTCTTTCCTGTTGCACTCCTATTTTACTCATTAGGATTCTGAATATTTCAGGCTTCCAATTCTTCTTTTTTTTGTATGAACCTTCTCCTGGATCCTGCCATTTTCTAACCTGTGATTCCATTCAAAACTGTTCCATAATCTAGGTCACAATTTGGAATGACGATATGCCCTAAGCATTGTTTTGCAGCACAGAAACGTGGTGCAGTTCCAAGCAGAGCAGGCTTTTGCCTCAAGGTTCTTACAAAGTGGTTTTCGAGCCCTGTGAGTATGTGAGGATTTGACAAATGGCCTGCTTTCCCTATGTAAATATACATTATAAAAAAAATTAAGTATTTATTGCTTGTAGCGCACACCATTAAAATGAAACAATGTGTCATGTCCAGTCACAAATGACCACCTTGGGCCTCAGAAAACCCTGTGCTAAATTTATCTGTTGTGAGCAGTGTGTGTGTATGAGGTTGACAACTACACCACAGGTTTTTTTGAGTGAGGGATGCCGCAGTGAAGAGTATACTGTGTCTGTACCACAACATAAACAGGAATTTTTTACTTACATATCTTGTGAGACTGTTAAAAACAGGTGGTAAGAAAAGCTGCTAAAGGAAAACCATGACTGATCTTACAAACTGCAGGTGACCGTTTTTTAAGCCAGCATTTACTTTGCGCTGAGGGAGTGTCTCATCTCTTTGTGTCCATCCTCAAGGTGTGTTCAGACCTATCTTTGCCACCTTAAATCTTAATCTGTGTTTCTCAGCAAAAGTCTTTCTCTTACAGCCTGCAGAATGTAGATAAGTGCTTCATGTTATCCTGGGGCACAAGTTCCCTTCTTTTAAGCCTTATGCTTTTGTCCCTTTCTCTTCCTATGGAACTTAGACTGGTCATTCCAGTTTTGCGGTGAGACTTTGGGTGCCTGTATTTCTTCTGAGAGATGTGAGACAGGCTTTCTTTGTAGACTTGTGCTGTTTACTCATGATAAATCTCCTGGCTTTCACCTTGAAGTGATGAAGTGACCCACCACTCTCTTTATTTGTCAGGATTTGTTTGGATCCCTTTGAAAGCTGGAATAGCTTCTCTCTGCCCTGGAGAGACATGGCAGTTCCTTTCAGGATTCATCCTGTATCTAGAAGATTTTGATTACAGTTTGATTAGAGAAATCAGAGTTTTGTTAAAAACACATGAGCAAACAGCAAGAATGCTGTAAGAAGCAACTTTGGATATATTGATTCTTAAGATGACTGATGAGCTCCCATGTCTGTCTTCCATTTCTACAGATAACCACTCTGCGCCTCCAGATGTAACCACTGGCCTGGTAGAACATTTACATCATGAGCGTCCACAGGTAGCATCAGTACGAGGAGTTCCCAGAGGCTACAACAGCAGCGTTTTGGAAACTGCAGATGGTGACTGTATTATAAACCTCCTACCTTTCAATCGATGTCCCGTTTTCTGAATAAGCGAATGCATAACAGAGCTTGACACCCATTGTGTGCTATGTGCTTGCCCCCTCCAAAGCTTTGCAGTAGTATGGTGTATCTTTCAGTCTGCCACAGGAGAGGAAACTGTACTGCATTTCCCGTGTTCTGCTGGTGGGAGCCATGTCCCTATTTCTGTATATTTCTATAGTAAAAGGCAATGTAAGCCCTTTAGTCTCACATTTTAATTTTATATTGCCTCAGAGATTTAAATTTTAGTAAATGTAAATAAACATACACATTTATATTTAATTTAAAATAAATATATCACGTATACAAATGAAAATCAGCATTTGACATGGTTTTGTGTTGTGATTATTTTTGCTAGCCTTGTAAAATATTGAAAGATTCACTTATTTTTTCCAAGCATTCAGACTTTTAGAACTGAATAAATGTTAAGACGTAGCAAATACCTAGACTTTTGAAGAAAAGAACATTCTTCAGGTTTGTATTGGAATCTCATGAAGAAGTCAGCAGTTTGAAAAGCTTAGTTAAGTATGAGAACGTATATGCATCAGCCAGGTAGCTAGGAAACAGCATTGTTTTGAAAGAAATCCATGGTTGAAACCGTTACTGATTAAAGCTGTTTTTTTCCAAACAAGCTGCTCATCTTGAATGACTCTTCCACCTGAAAGCTGCGCTGAACTTAAGAGTGATGTTGTCAGCAATGTGGCAGCATGTGTTTTAGTATATGTTTATTAATATATGGTAAGTAATAAATCTTTTTTGTTTGACAGGTGTACCAGTGAATAGCAGAGTGTCCTCTAAAATCCAGCAGCTTCTAAATACCTTGAAAAGACCAAAGCGCCCACCTTTGAAAGAGTTTTTTGTTGATGATTTTGAAGAACTGCTAGAAGGTTAATTTTCTTTCAAACATTCTGAACTCTGCCCTGTGGTAATCAGTAAATTTATAGAGGATATTCTTTGGAGTTAGTCAGGACATAGCCTAAGTGTAACTGATGGTGCAGTGGATGCCTGGAAGCCTCTGACCAACCTCCTGTTCAAAGCAGGTCTGACTAGATCAGGCTGCTCAGGGCTGTGTCCAGTCCAGTGCTGAGCGTCTCCAAACATGGAGATTCCACAGCCTCTCTAGCCGCTCGCATGCAGCTGCTTGTCTAAAAGCACCCCCACATCCTGCTCTGAAAAGCTGCTTTGTAGCTGGTCAGTGCCCAAATATAGTTAAATGAAAAAGTTACTTCCTAGTAACTGGAATTTATTATGATAATATTGTTTGCATACATGTTGATATCCTCTTCTTGAAATCCAGAAACTTCCATTATTTTAGAGGTTCAGAGAAATTAAATGCAGTGAGTGCACTGTGCAGTATGTCTTGTCTGTGCATTACATGAAAGGATTGTGCTTGTACATGCTCTGCAGATATCGCTTAGCTAAAAAACCCCACTATTTTCTTCTCTGTATGCATGTGTTCAGGCGGAAAGAAGAACATCTGACAAAGATAGAAGTTGCTAGCAATATGTAGCTGCCTTTAAAACCAGCTGCATCAGCTAATTTTGGAGAATGATTTTTGTTCTGTTCTCTTAGTCTTAAAGATTAAATGAAAATTCAGTTCTCTGTGACATTTTTGAGCAGCTGCTACTAGATTCCCTGTACTATTCATTTGATACTTTAAAATATGAAGTGATTGCAGTTCTAGACTTTCGATGAAGATTTTTCAGGCAAACTTTCATTGAGGTGCATATATGTCATTGTGGAGAGCAGAGAGCATCGCTTTGAACTGTTAGTTTTAGTTATTGCATAGATTGAGTGTTAGCTAAATCTAACTATGACTTCATTTTGCTAAGATCAAGATACTTCACCTTCTTGAGTAGCTTGGGGCAGGATTTTACAGCAGGCTCCTCAGAGACCAAATGGCATACAAACCCTGCACTGTTGCACAGTTGAGAGAGATGATCTGGAAATCAAATGAAATATTCTGTGAGCGGTACAGTTTTAGTTGTAGATAATCCATACCAGGAGCATTTCATCTGGTGCTCTTTTTCATATATTGTTACAGAAGCATAGTGTCATTCTTCATCACCTATTAAGAATTTGGTGCAGCAAAAATAAATGTCCAGTTGTCACTGAAGCCATTTTCTCTGATGACGCATCTTGCCTTGGTGTAAGCTTTCATTTAAATAGACATGCAGAACAAACAACAGAAAATATCATCTTTCCAAAGCAGAGAAAAAGAGTGAACTAGGGAGTCAAATTCTGTTCCTGTGGCCAGGTCCTTTGAATAATGTGGAATCAGAACTCCAAAGTGATGCTGGGAAGCCAACAGATGATTAGCATAGCATCATCATAAAGCAGAGGAGAAGTAATGGTAGCTGTGAGGAAGAAGAGGGTGAGAACGGTTTGTAGAATAGTCTATTAAGTGTAACTTGCACATTTTGTAAGGATTAACATTTGCCATTTTACTGTGCTCTGGTTTTAGTGCAACAGCCTGACCCAAATCAACCAAAGCCTGAAGGAAATCAAATAAATGTACTTAAAGGTGAACCATTAGGTGTGGTAACCAACTGGCCACCTTCTTTGCTGGCTGCCCTGCAGCGCTGGGGAATTACCCAGCCAAAAGCCCCTTGTCTGACGGCATTGGATACGACTGGGAAAGCTATTTATACGCTTACCTATGGTAGGTATTGGTGATAACTGTAAGAAAGAATTAGGCGTTCATTGTGGAATGAACAGTTTGCTTTACTTAAGAGGGACTGACTGTGCTCATGAAAAATACTTTGAGATTGCCATTCGAATACAAATTATTAATTCATTGTATATGAAAAACATTTTAAATAAAGTTAATGAAGGAAAAATGTATATGATATTGATTCTTTACAAGTGGCTGTTTGTAAATTTCAAACAACTGTGGGTTTTTTGCTTAAAAGAACACTAAAAATAGCCTGGTGTAAAATAGGAGGAAGAAACAGATGACAAATAATGCACTCTTCAGATTCCCAGAGTAGATACTAATTTTTAGCATGTTCTTGCATATCCTTATAGAGAAGATGTGTACTTCAGGAGCATATTAAGGATGTTATTGTGGGAAGTGAAACTTGCCTTTATCAATGAACCAGAAGTTTTACAGTAATTGCATTTTTTTTGAAGATAATTGTGTCCCCCAGGACAGTTAACTACAGCATTTTGTTGTATAGTATATTAGAATGTTAAAATTTCTTGTTTGCATTCTTACAGATAAAGTATGCTTACAAGAAATGTAACTGAGCAGCTGCATTAGTTTCATTACTTTGCAGTGGAGCTTTGAGAATTGTTTTGAATATCATGTTTAGTTTTACATTCAAAAAAAAGAAAGGAAAAGAAGAACTAAAAAGAAACCAAGCTCTAAATTGTACATGGACTCTCTGGCAACTGCACTGAACTGCAGTTCTTTAAAGAACTGGCCATTTGATGTACTTAAGTCCTGTGTAACTTTTTTTTATAAAACTGGAAATTACACAGAAAAAAACCTGTTCAATTGAAGTTTGAGACTGACAAACACAAAATAACTGATGGTTGCTGCGTGGTCTGAAGGGATTGAGTGTGGATGTCAGTCCATGATAAAGACCCTGTACTAGAAAGCTGAGTTCCAGATGCATGCTGTTTGCCATGGCATGCTTCTTTGGGGGTGGTTCTTGCTTTGATTTACCATTTACAGTGGAAGGGTTTTGCTGTTGCTCAATTTTTTATAAACAGTTTTTTTTATCAAAGCTCTTCTTTCTTTTTTGAGGCTACAAATTAAAAATTGATTTTTATGTTATGTCAAATAAGTGGTTAGATTGTTGTATTTAATAGCTTGGAATAATTTTTTTTTTCTGAATTATTGAGATCTTTGTAGATCACTACTGAGCACTGAACTGGTATTTCACAGAGCCAGCTATTGTGGCATTTACTCCTACCCTTTGTTTCTTAAATTTCAGTTAATTTTTTGTCCAGTTTAGGATTTTTCTTTTTATCCCAAGCAATTTGCTTTCTCTAAGAGCCCTTAGGAAAGAGTCTTGTGAAGTCCCTTTTGGAAATGCAGTTAGGTTGTATTAACCAGACTACGTGTGTGTGTGCGTGCGGACGCACACACATGCACCGAGACATTGGAAGAACTGAGTGGGTTTGTGAGGTGGAATTGCTTTCACAACAGTTATGTTCATTTTTCCCCAATTACTTGCTCACGTGCCTGGTGACCCTGTTCTAATACAACCGACTTGCCTAGTGCATATATAAAGCACTGAGATTTGCCAATTAAATGTTAAAATTTTAGCCTCTATTTTTTAATTTCTGCATTGTCTTTTTTTCTTTAGGCAAGCTGTGGAGTCGAAGCTTGAAGTTAGCATATACCCTGCTAAACAAGCTAACCACTAAGAATGAACCACTGCTGAAGCCTGGAGACCGGGTAGGCTTCTGTTTGAAATGGTCTCTATGGATAAAATAGACAGTGAAGAACAGCTTTAGCTAAAGAAGGCTTTGTAGTACTGTGACTTGTAATAGTATATTATTACAACATTTAGTATTTCTGTTCCTAATTTAAATATGAACCTGAACATTGTTGTGAAGATTTTTTTCCATGAATTAAAAAGCAGCCCTCCCCCTACAAACAATAACAAAAAACATTTCTTGTTATTTTAATGTATTTTTGTAGGTAGCTCTCGTATTTCCTAATAGTGATCCAGTTATGTTTATGGTGGCATTTTATGGATGTCTCCTGGCAGAACTTATTCCTGTCCCAATAGAAGTTCCACTAACAAGAAAGGTAGGCAAATACATTCAACATTTTTATGGATTCGTAAATAAAGTAGGTGGGTGTCTAAATTCTATCATCCTTATATGGGGCCCCTCAGAGCCTGCACTTTTGAAAGCAGTATGGTGCATTAGCTGAACTACTCAGTGCACATTATATGCTTGGAAAGTGTTTAATACTTAGTTAGGGAAGGGGGAACTAGTATGAAGCTAGTAAGTTAACTGTTTTAGAATACATAACTGTAGAAATTATTTTAATCCATTATTTTTGAAAATATGTGTGAAAGTCTTTTTCAAAATATAACACAGAAATGCTATCTTTTCACCTCTCGTGCTGAGTAATGAAAGCACAGGCAGGTAGAGACACCATGCTTACTGGAAATACCAATATAATCCCACACACATTGAGATTATTAGAGAAGAGATGAAAAGCTACAGGCTCTGCTCTTCAGTGCTTCAGGACTCAGAAACAGCATCAAACCAGGTCGCTGTTTTACCAGAATTTATAAATGTCCCTGTTGGGTTGGAGAGGGATGCACAACCATTGCTTTTGACACTACTTTGCTATCACTGCTTGCTAGATCTACTGCCAAATCTAACTTGGTTGGCACTGAGCAAAACTAAGCCTTTTGAGCATAGGCTTCAGTCTTTTGTTTTCCATAAAAGGTCTCATGGGCTAGAAATTTGTTTTTTCTTGATATATAAATTGGCTTAATATTTTCTAAACATGGAAAAGTTAGAGTAAACTGTACAAAACCTTCATTATTTGTAAGTTTGCTGTAACATGGTTTCTCTGTAGGATGCTGGCAGCCAGCAGATTGGATTTCTTTTGGGCAGCTGTGGAGTAACACTAGCTTTAACCACTGATGCCTGTCAAAAGGGCCTTCCTAAAGCTCAGACTGGCGAGGTGGTTACATTCAAAGGTATGTTTTAAGCTACTCAAATCTCTTTATCCTATAAAGAGCGGGTATATCCATTGCTGCTGTTAAACAACAATCTTTAAGTTTGCTTGCATGCTTCTAGCTTATCTATAAAGAACTGCCTTCATTGTCAAGACAGTATTTAGTGCTGCTTCTTCCTGTCAGGGGGATGATGGTGCAGCTTTTGCTTGCCTCCTGTTGATATCTCTGAATACTGGGGAAAAAAAACCTGATTTTTGGAACTGTAATGATAGTAACTTTTCTTTTTCTTTGAAGGCTGGCCTCGTCTCATTTGGTTTGTGATTGATGGGAAGCATCTGGCAAAACCAACTAAGGACTGGCATCCGCAAGTACGGGATGCCAGTGCTGAGATTGCTTATATTGAGGTGATCCAGTATAATATGCCTAACTTAGGGTTACTCTGTTGTAGTTTATGTCACAACATGTTTTCTTCCTTTAATCTCTTGATGCAATAAAAGAGATTACTATAATACTTTTAACTGTGGAACAAGAGTGTTTCCCTCGAGGTTGCCAGGCAAACTGTCATTTGAGTGGTTGTGCTGAGTCAGATTGAAGATTGGGGATAACTGGCATTTTGGGATCCCTGGGACAATTTGTTTAATTGGGGTAGAGAACAGTTAGATTTCATATGATATTAGTGTATTCTCTGAACACAAATGCATCTTTTATGGTAGCATTTTTATTTTTTTAAAAAAGTTCACTTCATTTTTATAGTAAAATATCCTTTCAGTTCACTACTGTAAATTTTCTAGATTCTGTTGTTAATATAATACCTGTATAAACTTTCTCTTTTCAGTACAAAACAAGTAAAGAGGGCAGCACAGTGGGCATTACTATATCTCATGCTTCCATGCTGGCACACTGTCATGCATTGACTCAGGCATGTGGTTATTCAGAAGGTAAGTTAGATAGGTATAGCTTTAAAATGATACTCATAGCTTTGAATATTCAGACAATTTATGTTACAAAGTCATATTTACTGTCTTAAAAGAACTTGGTAGCTTTAATTGCAAAGGGAAAGACAAATTTCCTCATTCATAATCATTGTGATATGTGAAGGAAAGTAAGAAGCCACTTGTGAAATCATAATCAATGTGTATTAAAATTTTTTTAACTTAAGATCCTTACTGGTTTTATTCAAGGGTTTGGATTTTTCAATCTTCATAAATTTGTTAGTCAGTGGTACACTGATTTTTCATCCTCTTGAAAACAGCTTTGCTATGAATCTATTTTGTCCTCCCTAATGCCTTTTGAATGCACTGGCCACTTCATGAAGTCCTAAGGGGGACAGTTTGAGATGCCCACATGCAGACTTAGAGGAGCCCTCCCAGCAGAAACTGAGGGAGCTTTCTTAGGCTGATTCTAGAGACCATTTGGGTAGCTTGGATCTCTTTGAAGAGCTTTGGATGCTGCCAGTTCCAGCTGTAGTTGCTCTAACGGTGCAGACTGGTGTGCCATGCAGACAGGCTGATATCAGTTGTGCAACTTCTTATCTGTCAGGAGACAGACTTGCGGTTATTGACCAAAGCGAAGGCATTTTGAAGTCTTGACTTGAAACCTAGTAATGACTAGGTGAAACGTAATATGCATCATAGGCCTTCCAACTCTTCTACTTCAAGATTCCTAGGAGTGTGACATTTGACCCCTGAAAGAGAGGCTTGATCAAGAAACTTTGAGAGTTACCATCATTAAAAAACACCCTGACTTGCTTGGCTTTACTGCTCTTGCACCTTTGATGACCCTGCCTGCCTAGATCACAAGGTTAAAAGTCCTAATGCAAATCATCTGGCCCAATTACTTGAACTAGGTCTGTGATTCTAGGCAGTGCATTTGAGGCCATGAGCGGATTGCTAACAGTTGCTAACTGTCCTCTCTTGCACTTACTTTTTTTTTTCCGTCCTCCTTTGGGGAGTTGGTTTACACCTGTAGTTCTCCAAAGTCCACACAAGTAGTATGATAGGGTAAAAGAAGTTTTCACAGTCAGATATCTCTACTCTTTTTAGTTATCATCAAAGAGGACCCTTTCCCATTTTCATTTTGGGACATCCCATCACAGCTGCCAACTACAAGAACTGTGCTGGGAGAGAGGAGGGTGCACCCAGCTTGTCGGTAAAGGACTGTACAATAGTTCCTGAATCCTGAAAGGATGGTGGCAACTAATTATGGATCGAAGGGGGTCTACATATCTTAATTTTCAGACAAATGCAGAGTAGTGTTGCTAGCCATTAACATTTCAGATCTCCACAGAGGGTACTGAATTCTCTTGTCCTCCTGTATGTTCATTTTTCAAATTTCTGTTGCCACATGCTGGAGTGCTGTCATGAGGTTTGTGTTCTGTGTAGACCATACCCAGTATAAAGCTTTGCCTTCTGTTTTGTTTATAGCTTCCTGTAGCTTCACAATTTTGGCCACAGTAGTTCCTATTTTCAGAAAGGAAGGGATCTTCATCTTAGTTAATAAAGAAAATCTCCACAGGGATTTGAATAAAGTGAGAGATCTACTTGTTTACAGTCATTCCCTCAATGAATAGCCAAGAATGGCATCTGGTTTTGACCATGTGCATAGAGTTCATCTGTGCTACCATTAACCAAAAACTTCTCCATTTGAAATCTGTTTGCTGGAAGAATCTCATGCTTTGACTAGTTCTTATCCCATGATGGGGTAGTCTGGGCTAATGTAATGAGGAAAATAAAACAAGATCAGCGCCACTTGCTACATGATGGCTGAAATTTTTATCAGCAGACTGGAAAGGTGTCTGCCTCCTCTTAGTCATAACGAGGACCTTGATGTACTGAGAAGAGGCAATTGCTGAAATAGCAAGAGATGGCTCTTCCCTTCATTTTTACCTTGAGTAAATGCTCTACAGAGAGGAGGGCTTTGGAACCACAGCTCAGAAAGGCATGAGGTTCGTAATAGGACCAAGAACAGCAAAGCCACAGGTACCAAGGGCACGACCAGAACGAATCAGGTTCTTTGGTCACTACATAGTAAACCTGAAGGGGTAAGGAGAATTAAAAAAAAATATCTGTATCTCATCCGCTCCAAGGACACCCAGACCAGGTCAGGACAGGGCCTGAAGCTAGTGGTATCCTCAGACAGATAGTGCCAGGGAACATTACACTACCAACCTAGATGTTGCCATCTTCACTTCTGGCGTAGAGGGCACTAAGTGGTCTTTCAGGACACAGATCCCAGTCACTGTCCACAGTCTTAGGTCTGGTTTGGCACCCTAATTTTATTAATCTTCTTCAGAGTGCTCCCCTCTCCAAATAATGCATGACTCAGCAGCCTAGCCTCAAAAGAGAACAACAGGGAAGAGGCAAAGTCTCCTTGCTACAATCCACTTAATGGGCTGGGGAACAATGCCCATATCTTGGGCATTGCAAACAGATGTAATTAAGAAACTGAGGTTAATCCAGGACTGACCAGTATGCTGGGATATCCAGAGTCTGGGACTGTCAGAATGGTTGAGGTTGGAAGGGACCTCTGGAGGTCATCTGGTCCAACCCCTCAGCTCAAGCAGGGCCACCTAGAGCCAGTTACCCAGGACCATGTCCAGACAGCTTTTCAGTATCTCCAAGAATGGAGTCTCCACAACCTCTCTGGGCAACCCATTCCAGTGTTTAGTCACCCTCACAGTGGAAAAAGTTTTCCTTCTGTTCAGAGGGAAGCTCATGTGTTTCAGTTTGTGTCCATTGGCTCTTATTCTGTCATGGGAGTCCACTGAAAAGAGCCTGACTCAGTCTTCTCTATAACCTCCCTTCTGATATTTGTACATGTTAATGAGATCCCCCCCGAGCCTTCTCTTTTCCAGGCTGAACAGTCCCAGGTCTCTCAGCTTCTCCTCATATGCTGAGATGCTCCCGTCCCTTAGTCATCTTAGTGACGCTTCGCTGGACTCACCCCAGTGGCTCCATCTCTCTCTTGTACTGGGGAGCCCAGAAATGGACACAGTACTGCAGGTTGTGGCCTCACCACTGCCGAGGAGAGGGGAAGGATCACCTCCCTTGACCTGCTGGCAACACTCCTCCCAGTGCGCCATTAGCTGCCTTTGCCACAAGGGCACATTGCTGGCTCATGTTCAACTTGGTGGCCACCATGAACCCCAGGGCGCTTTCTGCAAAGCTGCTCTCCAGATGGTTGGCTCCCAGCATGTCCTGGTGCATGGGGTTATTCCTCCCCAGGGAGCGGGGCTTTGCATTTCTCCTTGTTGAACTTCATGAGGTTCCTGTCAGACCATTCCCTCAGCCTGTCGAGGTCCCTCATGGATGGCAGCACAACCTGCTGGTGTATAGAATCATGTCAGCCATTTCTCCCAGCTTTGTGTCATCCACAAACTTGCTGAGGATACACTCTGCCCCATCATCCAGATCATTAATGAAGATGCTGAAGAGAACTGGAGCCATTATTGAGCCCTGGGCTACACAGCTAGTTACTGGCCTCCAACTCGACTTTGCGCCACCAATCACCACCCTATGGGCCCGGTTGTTCCGTTACAGCCCATACTTCATCCAGCCCATACTTCATCAGCTTCTCTGTGAGGATGTAACAGGAGACAGTGTCCAAAACCTGAGCAAAGTCAAGGCAGACAATATCCACTGCTCTCCCCTCATCTACCAAGCCAGTCACTTCATTGTAGAAGGTAGTCAGGTTGGACAAGCATGACTTCTTGGTGAATCCATGCTGACTACTCCTGATGACTTTCTTGTTCTCCATGTGCCTGAGATAATGGTTTCTGAAATTAGTTGTTCCATCACCTTTGCAGCATTTGAGGTGAGGCTGACCAGCCTGTAGTTCCCTGGGTTCTCCTTTTTGCCCTTCTTGAAGACAGAAGTGACATTAGCTTTTCTTGACCCCTCAGACACTTCTCCCAGTCGTCATGGTCATTTAAAGATCGTTGAGAGTGGCCTCACAATGACATCAAACAGCTCCCTCAGCACTCATGAGTGAATCCTATCAGGGCCCATGGACTTGTGCATGTGCAGTTTGCTTAAGTATTCCTTAATTTCATCTGTTCTACCAAGGGCATGTCTTCCTTGCTCCAGACTTTCCCCCAGGTCTCCAGGGCCTGGGATTTCTGAAAGCCAGTCTGGATGGTAAAGACTGAGGTGAAGAAGGTATTCTGTATCTCAGCCTTTTCCATGTCCTGTGTCACTGGGTCCTCCGCCTCATTCAGCAGCAAGCCCACATTCTCCTTGGTTTTCTTTTCTATGTATTTATAGAAGCCCTTTTTGTTGTCTTTAACACCCCTCCCCTGATTCAATTCCAGCTGGGCTTTGGCTTTCCTTACCCCATTTCTGCATGCTCAGACAGTGTCTCTGTATTTCTTTCAGGTTACTTGCCCCTGCTTCCACCTTCTGTATACTTCCTTATTATGAATGATTTCTGCCATGAGCTCCTTGTTCATCCATGCAGGACTCCTGGCATTTTTTCCTGACTTCCAGCACTTTGGGATGGAGTGCTCTTGATCTTGGAGCAGGTAATCCCTGAATATTAACCAGCTTTCTTGGGTCCTTCTCCCCTCCAGGGCCTTATCCCATGGGACTCTACCAAGCAGATCCCTGAAGAGGCTGAAGTCTGCATTCCTGAAGTGCAGTGTTGTGATCTTGCTTTTGCCCTGCTCTGTCCTCTCAGGATCTTGAACTCTGCTCTCTCATGGTCACTGTAGCCTTCGACCTTCACATTCCCAACGAGTGCCTCCTCATTTGTGAGTATGAGGTCCAGCAAAGACCCTCTCCTTGCTGGCTCCTCTATCACTTGGGTCAGGAATTTGTCATTGATGCTCTCCAGGAACCTCCTGGATTGCTTATGCCCTGTCATGTTGTCCCTCCAGCACACATTGAGGTGGCTGAAGTCCCCCACAAGGACCAGGGCCTGGAAACATGAGGCTGCTTCTAGCTGTCTGCAGAAGGCTTCATGCACTTCTTCCTCGTGAGGCAGTCTATAGCAGACACGCACTACAATGTCACCCATACTGGTCTGCTCTTTAATCCTTACCTGTAAGCTCTGAGGATGGATGAGGAGCCAACTGAGGTCAGCTCCATGCATTCCAACTGTTCCCTCACATAAAAAAACCTGTTCTCTCCTGTCCTTCCTAAAGAGACTGTATCCCACCACATCTCTGTGATCCCAGGTATGTGAACGTGTCCAGAGGAGGGCAACAAAGCTGGTGACAGGGCTGG